TAATATTGTTGAAGCCCTCCGACAGACTGGATTAACGGGTATCACGAAAAATAATGTTAAAAATAGACAAAAAAGTCTAAAGGATAGATGGTGGGAGGTTCACGACTTGTTTAGTGGACTTAGTGGATTTGCGTGGGATGAGTCCACGAAACGGTTTACAGCTGAGCCTGAAGTATGGCATGACCTGCTGCAGGTAATGTTTTAACATTCGGGATTTATTGAATTAGTGAAACATAATAATTATGAGTGATAATCACGGTTTTTATTTGCAGGCGAAGCCAGCTGCAGCTAAATGGAGAGTGTCTTCCATTAGGTATTATGACTTGATGGAAGAATTATGGGGAGTTGATTGGGCGACAGGCCATATGGCTAGGACTGCACGACAAGCTCGTAGAAATATCGGTATGCCAAGTGTAATAGTCGACTTGAACGATGATGTCAATGACATACCACAGGACGACCCTTTTCAGGCAGGGTTTGATACAGCATACCGGTCGCCACCACACTATGGTTCTTGTAGTCCTGTTGATGGTAGTCAGTCAGTGCCATCTGCTGCATCTGGTGGTACTACTAGAACATCGTCATCTCGAGGCACAAAAAGAAAAGCCCCAATGATTGATGTGATGGATGCACAATTTGATAGGCTAACTACGAGGCTCGATGCATTTACAGATTACCTTGGTCAAGGTAATGCATTGACCCAAAGATTATCTGATATTGTTGAACGACAAGTGGTTGCCATTGAACGAAGAAACGAAATAATTAATGAGCAAGTTAATATCTTGAGGCAAACATCAACAGTTCAATATTCAGAATCAAATATTTGGGACATGTTAGTCGCTATGAACTTGCAAGACGAGCAAGTTATGGTCCAGTGTTATGATTTTTTGTGTAATAATCCATCACATGTTAGGCGACTTTTTGGCTTACCCCCACATCTCCGCCTCAACCAATTGTTAAAGTTCATGGGTCAAAGTGGTTGATTTGTGATTCTTAGTTATTGTATTTTTTTTTGCATTATATGTAATGTTTTACTAATGATTTAAACATTGTAAACTTGACCATAATGTTATAAAAGTATTTATTAATGGTCAAAGATACATTTTAATGTTATTACTTGCAATTATGTTTTATGAAATATGTCTTATGTTTAACATCATATTTGTTATTGGTTATTTTATATATAATTTTCAGGTATGACATCCGGTTCAAGAAAAAGAAGTTCAAAAGAAAGCAAAGGAAAAACTCTTGCCACCTCGGACAGAGCAGCTGGTCCTAGATTACCACAAATTGAAGAAGTTCTAAATCAGACACGTTTTTTCAGCCAGCGTGATCAGATGATTAAATATGGCAAGGAGTTTTACCACAGGATAGTCCTTCATCCAAAGGTTATGGACTTTAGCTACTTTGCCACATCAGGGCTGTATTTTCACCACCATTTAGAATATCAAGGTTTGCAGCATTTTGTGGCTCTCAAATGTGATTTCTTTGAAGATCTTATTAAGGTCTTCTATTCCAACTTGAGAGTATCTGAAGCTGGTTTCCTCTATAGTGACGTCAACAAAACAAAGATAAAAATAAAACCATCTGATTGGTTAACGTCAACAAAACAAAGATAAAAATAAAACCATCTAATTGGTTTACTCTGGTTGGTTTGAAGTATCAGGGGCACAAAGTAGCATTTCCAAACATCCCAGAGGAGATGCAGTTCGACCGTCACATAGCACTAATATCTATGATTAGACCAGAGCTGCAGGGCCAAAATGTCAGAAATGTAGGAAGTCTTAACATTAACGACAGACCCCTTCAGTGAGGTCGAAAAGACCCTGCACAGTATAGCATCCTCATTAGTATAGAGGTTTACCTGTGTGGTGTACATGTCGATGTGCTCATCCGGGTCTGTCATGTCGTCGTAACGGTCGATGTGGAGAGGCTTCCACCCAAAAGGGAGGGGGATCTCCGTGATGCCATCCACGAAAGGAGAACGGCGAAAGGTTGCCTGATGTCCCGTGCCGTGGGCAGGGATGTTGCTGACATCTTGCGCCGACCTGTGCGTCGGCACATGAGACCGATGTGAAGCAGGTCTGGGGGTTGGAACCCTAGTCGCGACTGGAAGTTGAGAAACCGAATTGCCTTCTTCCTCGTGTAGATGATCAGAGGCGCGTCGAGGGAGCTGAGCGCGAATTCGCTCATTTTCGACACGTAGTGCCGCTAGGTCAGCTTCATTGGCGGTCCTCATCGCCGCTAGGTCGGTTTCGTGCTGGACACGCATGTTTCGCAGATCGACGTCGTGTTGTTGCCGCATCTGTTCTACCTGGTCGATCAGTCTCCTAAATGTGGCTTCGTTATCCATGGTAGTTGTATGATCTGCGTCGTCTAGGGATGGCAACGGGGCGGGGCGGGTACGGGTTTCATGATACCCGTCCCCGTCCCTGCGACTGAAACCTATACCCGTCCCGGTCCCCATACCCGTCGGGTATGTAAATTATGTCCCATCTCCGTCCCCGTCGGGTATCGGGTATACCCGTACCCGTACCCGTACCCGTAAAAAAATATTTTTTTTAAAAAAGAAAATTAAATTTTTAAAAAAATTAAATTAATTTTTTTTTAACTTATCTTTATATCATCAATTTGATTTTTGTTAGTGGCCCTACTAAAAATACTTTACTTTGTCTCAATTTGAGAGTTTATCATAGATGACTTCTTTTGCATGGAAGACCATACCATTATGGCATTGTCGTTCCACCCTTGATTATACAAACTTTGCGTAAATGTATATTACCATGCTCTGCATTAAATATTTAATTATATTACCTAGATAAAAAAAAACTAATTCTGATCAGAGATCAACACCAGCACCGACAGTACCTATATAACTGCATCTAAGTTTCATCCTAAAAGAAAACACCATAGCAATCACTTCATACATTACAAACACAAATCGGAAAACATATGACACCTAAGCTATTATATCCCAAAAAACCTCTTTCAAAAAACATGAAATTAAACAATATTACACAAAAATACCTTAAAACGACGTTTGGTGCTGCAACTATAACACTATCAAAACAGGAACTGCGAATAACAACCACAGAAAGAACAACAATACGAATCCCTTGATTCCCGATTTGCCCATTTGGCTCTTCAAACACAGGAAAACTACCTAAATTGTAAAAAATCAAGGAACAGCATCCAACCTGGCTTATTCTTTGTGAAACCAGTCGCGAAGAAACCGTCGTTCCACCAAAAGATGAATAATTGATTTAGTATGTATATACCTAATTTTATTTAAATTATATATTGAATTTAATTTTTACGTATGAATTTTTTATTATTGAAAGAATTAAATTCGTTATTTAAATA